CTAAGGGTTTGTCAATTTTGTTTATCTTTTCAAAGATCCAGCTCTTGGTTTCATTAATTTTTTCTATTGTTTTTTCAGTCTCTATTTCATTTGTTTCTGCTCTGATTTTTATTTCCTTCCTTCTGCTGATTTTGGGCTTTGTTTGTTGTTCTTTTTCCAGTACTTTTAGATGTGCGTTTAGGTTGTCTATTTGGGATTTTTCTTCTTTGTTGAGGTAGGCCTGAATTGCTATAAACTTGCTTCTTAGAACCGCTTTTGCTGTATCCACAGATTTTGGCATGTCGTGTTTTCATTTTCATTTGTCTCCAGGGATTTTTTCATTTCTCCTTTGATTTCTTCCTTGACCCAATCATTGTTCAGTAGCATTTTGCTTAATCTCCACATTTTTGTGGCTTTTCCAGTTTTCTTCCTGTAGTTGATTTCTAGTTTTATACCTTTCTGTTCAGGAAAGATGCATGGTATTATTTCGATCTTCTTAAATTTTTTGAGACTTGTTTTGTGGCCTAATATGTGATCAATCCTGGAGAATGTTCCATGGGCATTTGAAAAGAATGTGTATTCTGTGGTTTTTGGATGGAATGTTCTGTATATATCTACTAAGTCCATCTGGTCTAATGTGTCCTTTAAGGTTAGGCAGGCTTTTATATGCCTATTTATTTTTCCTTCTTAGTCCTATTAAAGCGAAAATATTGAGCTTTTCTTTTGTTATATTTTACATTTGTGAAGGAAGATAGCAATGCAGTTAATAGAAGGAGCATGACCCTTGGATTCAGACAACAAATAATTCAAATCTCAGCTTCAACACCTAGTAGTTGTGTAAACTTATTTTTCTGCACCTCAATATCCTCCTAATAACTACTATGCAGAGTTGCCGAGTTGCTGTAAACATTAGTGTAAGCAATAGATACTCAAATAAAGCTATTATTATTTTTATCATCAATTATTCTGACCTACAGAAATACACAAATTTCTTAGGTGTATACATTTTTGGAGAGCAATCAGGGATGGGGTATTAAAAGACTTTTATTTTTTGTTTTATTTTTCCTTCATTCAGTATGTGCATGTGTACATAGTGTATTTGTGTCTTTGAGTGTGTGTATGTGTGAATTTTACATATTATGTCTCATGCACCATTTCAGGCACTTTGGTAACATTGATAAATAAAACAGACAAAAATTCTACCACTGCTTGTAACTTAAATTATTGTTGTGGGTGCAGCTGGAAGCTGATAAATTCTATGTAAAAATTAAGTAAGATAAGAGGGATAGGGTGTTGTGTGTGGTTTGGAGTTATAAATAGGGAGGTCAAGGCAGACCTTACTGTAAATATGACATGGGTTTTGTGTTCTTAGAGGTTTTCAGGTTCTATCATTTAGAATGGGAGAAAGAGAAGCATAGGGGAAGAACAGGTGAGAGTACAGGAAAGAACAGGAGCTTGCTGACTTGGAGTAAAGGGTGAGTATTATTTCCTTTATGTAACATGTATCAAAATACAAACTAATAGAGAAGAGTGAAGTTTTCCAGATTGCCCAGTTTTATTTCATTCAATTTGAGCCCAAATCTTCCTTAAATGCTTTGTACACACCCTACCTTCCTAAAGGATGGATACTGAATCCAATTCACCTGGTCTATGACTGCTGCAGGAGATCATCATCATGACTGTCACATCTGTTACTGGACTGTCAGGAAGCAAGGCCCTCAGGGCTGGCTGTTTGCTCATGTGATGGCTGAGGCTGCAGTGATTGTGAATTCTACATAGTAGCTACTACACACATATGGCTATTTAAATTTAAATGTAAATTAATGAAAATAAATGACATTAAAAATTCAGTTTCTGAGTCACATTAGTCACATTGCAAGTGCTCAATAGCCACATGTGTCTGATGGCTACTATGTCAGCACAGATATAAAACATTTCCAACATTGCAGAAAATTCCATTAGTATTCATTATTTCACAAAGTTCTTGTCTCTGACATTGATTTTTGTGGTATTGCTATCAGCTTCCAAATCAATCTCTTCCTTTTGATTTGATTTGTTGTTTCTCAAAATTTATAGGTTTAAATACTAGATTTAGAATTTTGTGTAAAGTAAGAGTAACTAGGCTCTAAGAAAGATCAGAAGAGCTTTCCTATGTTTAAGTACCCAAGTTTTAATGCTTGGAATTGATATTCCTGTTCTGATGCCCAAGGTCTTTTTTGCTTGGTTATTTGTGTATCTGTGCTCTGGGTGATAAGAGAATCAGACTGCTGATTTATTGCGGAAGAAGGGCTATCAAACTCTGAAGGTAAAATTGCACTTCTGTGGAAATGCTTTAGACCAAGTGAGTGGTCCCTTATTTGGAGCAGCGCCATTCAAGGAGTGTTTATTGACTGATTGTCTACGTATACACCAAGCACTCTGCTAGGCCCAGGAGATACGAACAAAAATGAGCATGGCCTTAAATCCTGAGGACATCACATTTTAGGTGGTAGAGAGAGTCATAAATAGGCAGAGTTTCATTGTCCAGCACCCAGGTATGCCCAGGACACTCTGAAAGTCCAGAGGAAGGTGATGCATGTGTCAACCTTCCCGGGGGGTGGAAGAAGGAGAAGGAAGAAGGGGGATCAGACAAGAGGCCAGAGGCCAGAAAATAATTCCTAAAGGAGTGATTCTTAAATGGAATCCTGAGGGATAAATTGATGTTACTCACATGATGAAGTTGGGAGAATGGAGTCAATGAGACATGATATACTATAGTGTGAACAAAGACAATGAGGAGTGAACTAGCATGGTGAGAATGGGAACTTTTATGTTTAGTACTGATGGAATTTAAAATAAAAGGGAACTTGTGTCTGTAGAGATAGACTTTGAATGGTGTGTTGAAGTGATGGGTTTTCAGCAGAGGTGGAAGAGTGGCAGGGGGATGGTGACATAGGCAGGTCTGACTTTTCAGGAGTTCAAGTAGTTCACTGTGGCAGCTCTGTTGAGGTTAAATTTGATGGAGCTGGGTTGGAGGTTGGGACACCAGCAGTGGTGGGTGGAGGTGGAAAGATTCATAGCAATCCAAAAGAGAGATAATGAGGGCCTGATGTGAGAAAGTGTAATGGGGTGGAACAGAGGACCTGGGTTCAATCAATATTTAGGGGGTAAAATTATGAGTATTTGAGGATTGATTAGATGTGGGGGATGAAGGAGACAGATGAAATCAGAGATGACTCTAAGTTTTTAGGAAAACATTAATTTGAACTCTTCTTCTAAGTTCACGGTGATAGGTTTTGACCTATAACTGCTACTAGTGATTTGCATTGGCAGTTGTATGTAGGTTAGGTTTTGGCTCTTCAGGGCTCCATCACTCTCTCATTTGTTAAAAGAACTTAAAGCATAGACCATAGTGAAGTACTACCCTTGTATGACTTTAATTTTGGCCTATGAAAATTTATAGAAATTTGGCTTCATTTCTAATGGCTCCAATCCAGATGCCAAAATTACTCCATTGCTGGGATATCCCTTGGGTGGACCACTGAACATGTTATTTATTAGGAACAGCTGAAAACCATCATCAACATTCACATACTATGGCAACAATAATGCCAGTCAAATTTCAAGGTAACTCCAGGTTTCAGAAAGTTATGAATCTCAAAATCTGTCTAACTGAACTCTTATTTGTATTTTTACACATATTTATCATGTGAAAAAGCTAGTGGCTTCTTTACTTTCTGTGATTTTACATTGCCTTTTTTAGGTTATAAATTAAATTCTGAGTTCTGAATGTTGGTGGAGACATGTTTATAGATCAGGAGTCAATCACTTTAAAGTAAAAGTACAAATTCTGTCTGGATGGTGGAACCAGAAGTAGGAGATGACCCAGTCTAAAGGGTCCATATGATGGAGTGTATGTTGAAAGCAAGAATTCTTTTATACCTGCAGTGCATTTTAAAAGGACTTTCCAAGTAATAGTTAATATTTTAATGACGTCTGTTAAGCTTCCAGAAAAACACAGTTCTCTAGTTTGCAAGATTAAGGAAGCATGGCCAAATGCATGTTGATACTTTGGTTTTTACTGACATCTTTCATGACTGCATGGCTAAAGCCATGAAACAGTAGGCGCCTGCCACTTTCTTGTAGGTAGTTATATTTAGCCACTACATCTGGCCTTTGTTACTAAATACGTTTTTCTTGTCACTCTAACTGCTCCATCAAATTGGATCTTCAGTGGTCTGGCAGTTTTTGAATGACTTCTTGGAAGCTGTGAAGCCCTCCCTAATCAGGAATATCTGGGCAGGTCTTGTGATATGAAGAAAGATGGCACATCTCTTCTAAGTGAGAGAAGAGGATTATAGGACGATTACACGACATCTTCACAATTTTTATCTTCACAATAGTGGTGTGTTTAGTGATGAACAAGCACTGTAAATCAAGAAGCATGGGAAATTTCCACATCCTTTAAGAATGTTTAGTATAAAAGAGGAAGGAAAATAAGCTGTCTTTTTGCAGTTCTTGGGAGAGGTGACATTAACCATTTGTTAAAGGTTGGATTTATGAAGTTCATCAGCCTCTAGGAGCATTCTTCATGAATGGCCATCCTTTGTATGATGTCAATGAAGGTTGTTTAGCAACATATCAAAATAGTTTTATGAAAAGATAAATATGTGTTTCATTAATCCCAAGGAAGGCTTTCTGAAATGTATTTTCTTTATAAATAATTACTGTCATTTTGTGAAACTTATGACTTCTTAGGGTGCGAAAGAAGGAAAAAAGCTAACTTTTCAAGAAATTTGTGATTTAATACCATCTGGTCAAGTGAGTTGAAAAACCTTATATTATTTTGAATGCCTTCTCATTCTCTTGGGAAACTGGCTAACCCCTACAATCTGTCTCCCATGTCAAATGGCTCTGAAACTTTGATCTTCTCAAACCCGTTTGCCAGATGTAGTGGATAGAGCATGCGTGACATTTTGTGTGTCAATTCAACCTGGCTGATCGGAAACCATAATTTAATCTTGTATGACTTTTATTTATAGGCATTACAGCAGAAGTTCTGGTGGTGACCTCTTTTGATGAACTGCAGAGAAGGGCCCCAGAAGCAAGAGGGAAGATTGTTGTTTATAATCAACCTTATACCAACTACTCGAGCACGGTCCAATACCGAGTCCAGGGGGCGGTGGAAGCTGCCAAAGTCGGGGCTTTGGCATCCCTCATTCGATCGGTGGCTTCGTTCTCCATCTACAGGTTGGTCATGATCATTTGAAATCCTTTCAACAACCAGGGTTTTTCATGAAAGGGAAGCCCTTATGAAATAAAAACAAACCATTCAAATGAAAAAATACTGATTGTTCATGGAATTTCCCCTCATTCCACATTTGGTCATTTGTTTGTAATATCTTTGGCCTTTTCAGGATTCCAAGCATCATTTGTGCATTCCTTTAAAAAGCTTTCCACATCCATGATGATCCCATAACATTCCTTATATAACCAGTATATTATGTATTTTCACTGGAGGGAGAACTGAATTCATAACTGTGTTTCATCGACTTCAGAGGAAGCCAGGCTTTTTTCCATTGTTGCTAGAGAAGTGAAATAAAAATAAAGTGGGTAATGTTGCGGCCATCTATTGTGTAGTGGAAAGAGTTGAGGAAGCAGAGGACCTTGGATATAGAGCTGGTTCTGCTCCTGAACAACTGTGTGGCCTTGGAAATTTTCTTAAACCCTCTGGGCCTCTGCGTTCTCCTCTGTAAATCAGTAATGATGAAGAATAACAGATTTACAAAATTATTTTAAGAATAAATGAGGTAAAGTTTTTGAAATATACTTGATTGTCTATAAAGGTCTATATAAATGACTTGTGGTATTGTTTGAGGGCAACATAAGTTTTGTCTTTTTCTCTGTTGTTCTGATTGAGGTAATTGTGAAGTGCCTTATTGACCCTCAGTCATAGAATCAAATTCAGCATTGCAGTGGATAAAAGGTCTAAAAATTGACCTGCAGGCATGGCCTAGTTTAATAGCTAAAACATGGTAATGTCACACATTAAGGATAAAATATTTGAGAAACATGGATAAAAGAAGCACCATTTTAGTGTTATAGCCTGGTCTCTCTAAGATAAAAAAAACATGAAAAAATAATTGCAAATAGGGTTTATTTGGGTCTCGAGGTAAGATCTTTAGTATCTATTGTAAAGGAAAGTTTATTTATTTTGCATAATTGCTGTTTGTAGCTGTAGACACAGCTGCTTGACCTTAATTAGCATGCTCTACCCTTAAAAATAAAATGATTGAGGAGGAGACTTTAGCAACTAGGAAACCAAGTCAGGAGAGAGTTGTCCAAAAGTGCAGAGATAAAAGGAAAGGGACATATTGCTTTTACAGGGATAAGGTATCTTCCCAAGAGAGGAAGATGGGACATGTTAAAACCACTTATGAGAGGTTTTATGAGAGAAAAACTAGTTCCACTGATGTCATAGTGCTAAAAATAACGTTCTTTGTAGTCTTTAAAGCTTTGGTGACTAGCGATATAATGATTGGACCATATTCTTTTGGATGGTTAATCTTCCCAAGAGGAAGTCCTAAAATGGCTAGTTTACTTCCCAGAATACCTCAATCACCCCTTAGAAAAACATACTCAGCAAGCTGTGATCATTCACCATGATTTCATTGGTCATGAGACCTAAATTATGGAGCTAGTCTGTTGCTTTGTGAAACTGAGTGATTGCCAGAAATATTTATTTAAGAACTACTGCTTATAAGACTAATAAATTCCCAGATGATTTAATGCACTGCAATCTGCCAAGGCTAATTGGCATTTTTTTCTTCTGGTGTAATGAAGACATCTGGAAACCCAGGCTATAACCTAGGAGCCCCGGAAGAGTTTTATCCAGCATAGGACTTAGAAATCTGTTGTTAGCTTCAAAGGTTTGTTCAGCAACTTGTAGTGTGTATTAAAAATACATTTTTATTAATATTTCTAGATCTAAACTGATTATAATTTTTCACTGATTTTATAGCCAACCATATTTCACTGGACTCTTGACTTTTATGAATCCATATTTTCAGCATTTATAAATACATAAAAACATTGCCCTTTACATAGTACTTTAGAATCTTTCATATGTGTCATCTTATTTGTTCTGACAAAAACCCAATGGACCAAGCAGAAGGGGTGTTACCATCCCCACTTTACAGATAGGGAAATAGAAGTTCAGAGAATTCAGCATGTTAACATGTTTAAGTCTTGCATCCTGAAAAATAAAACCCGAAATGAAACAAACTGTCTCTTTGTCCACCTCTAGCTAATTGTTTCTTAGAGCCAGTTTTCCTTAAAGAGTATTTTATGTTCCTATCTCTAATTCTCATCTCTCATTCACTTTGTAGATAATTTTAACCTGGCTTTTGCCAATACTGAAATGGAACTTGTTAAGGTCAAAAATAGCTGCCTAGTTGTCAAATATAATGGACATTGCTCAGGCAATCTTATTCACTTCTCTGAAGCATTTGTCACTATTGACTGCTTTTCCATAAGCCTTCTCTTTGGCTTCCATGGCTTCTTTCTCATATTCTCTCCTCTCTCTCTTGCTCTTTCCCATTTTCCCTCTTTCTTCCCTATTTTTCTGGCTTCTCACTCTGAATATTCTATCTGAGCAATCCCATGATGCTTATGACTTTCACCACCACTCTTTCCAAACCCACCTCTCCTCTCCATACCACTGTCTAAGCTCTAGGTCCATACATCCAACTACCTGCTGATTCTTCTTTTGAATGTTCCACAGCCATCTCAGTTTTTCCAAAATTGAGCTCATGCTTTCACCTCTTTCTCCTGTATTTGCTATCTCAGTGAAGAGAATGCCATCTATTCTGCCTTCTAAGTTAGATGGTCCTTGGTTACTTTTTTCTTTTCCCTTATCCATCATTTCTAGTAGTTACTACATCTCCTAGGTTTTGCTCTTTATCAGACATTTCAACAAATACGTATTGAGCAGCTCCATTTCCCAACATCACTCAACATCCTAGGAGGCAGGAATCACTAACACTTTCCCAGTGCACCACCTTTCCTCAAAATTTCATGACTTTGCATATGCTTTTTCCTCTGCAACCTTCTGTTCCCTTCCTCACTGTCTCACACTGTCTTTCAAGATTCATCTTAAATGTTTCTTCTTCTGGGGACCCCTGCCTGATATCTGGCTGCAGCCCAGGTGAGCTACCTGTTCCTGGTATTCCTACATCATCCTGTGCTTACTCTGTATCATAATGTCTTTGAGGTAGTTTTGGTTCATGCTTTGGTAGGGAAGACTAACTGTTGTAACAAACAACTTAAAATCTCAGTCGCTTAACACAATAGGAGTTGATTTCTTGCTCACATAATAGTTCCAAGAGAGTGTTTAGCAGGTGGCCTTCTATTCCTTTCCATCTTGTGGCTCCATCGCCTCTAAGATCTATGTATCCAGCTGGCAAGTAGGGAGATAGAGAGAGAAAGTCGATAATCAAAAGGGAAGTATGTTCTACCTCACTTCTACTCACATTTCACTGGCCAGAATGTAGTTACATGGAGGCTGGGAAGTTTATTATTTCTTCATACCTATGGTGATGGTAAATGAGTTTGGTGAACTGTCAAGTCTGTCCCAATTGCCTGACTCTATACTATACTGTAAGTTCAAGAAAGACATGGATTATATTTTTTTTACCACTGTACCCCCATCATCTCATATAATGTTTGTTACGTAATAGTCACCCAGGAAATGTCTATTGAAGGAATGAACTTGTCTAAGATTCTGGAATCAATTGTGGCAGGGCTCTTATGACGAACCAGGTGACCCGATTCCAAGTACTCTCTTACCAAACTGTGTAGCCTCTGTACAGTAAGTTCAAAACAACTTGAACTTTTAGGGACCTTTGCTCTGTATTTGGAGAAAAATATCCAGATGCCTAATATTCCAGATTTTATCCTTTTTCTGCCACACCACTCATGAGCAATAATGTTTTGAGTTGCTGATTGAGTAAAACAGCTCCCTTCTCTCTGACAGACATTTCACCCATAGCCCTATGGGACTGGGTGATATTGGATTCCATCTAGGAGTAGTATGGAACTTAGCAACACTAGAGAACAGAATAGAAATTGTAATTTGTTGCTGCTTGATTTCAAAATTAGAGAATCTCCTAAAGGATGAGAAATGTGTTTTATTTGACTTGACCTTTGTCAGTGCAATTATCAATATTTGTCAGCCATTTTGGAAGTACAACAGTCATATGGTTACATGACAGATGTCCTCAAAAGACGTCTGTAAAAAGTCCATTAGTTATTGCCAGAGTTATCTCCAGGTTCATTGTTATTTCTCTGTATTCCCATTATTAGTGTTCTTGTGCTCAAATTTACTTCAAAGAGAAGATTTTTCCTTCATTGATGCTTTTATAGTGAATTTTCTTTTATTCACCATTGAGTATCAGCTGGGACTCCCATAAGATCTTTTTTAGTTTTTCTGTATGTAAAATTCCTTTTGCCTTTGTTGTAGGAAGATACTTTAAGGATAACGGTAATTAATAAGACATTTAAGTTCTACAGAGGAAAGCTTCTTTATGGAACCATTTGTCTTACATTATTTCTCAAATGAATCATGTTTTTTTAAAGAAATATTTATTGAGAGCTTACCAGTTGCTCAGAAGTTGCCAGGTGCTAGTTTTACTAAGATGAATTAGATATTTTTTTTTTTTTGTATTTCAGAAATATTCTATCTGGCTAAAAGTGAGGAGGGTAAGCTTAAAATATAAATGACTGGTGTAATGTATTTTATATTATTGCTAAATGTGTGATTGGGGGAAATGTATGAAGGAAGTAAATTAACATTTGTTAAGCACCTACTTTGTACTATGCTTTAGAGGCTGAAATAGTTTGTTTCAATTAATTCTTTATGCAACTCAATAGAAGTAGATATTGGTATCTCTATTTTACTGAAGGAGAAACAGGTTCAGAATGATTAAATGGCTAGTGAAATTACACAGCTAATGAAAGAACTAGGATTCATACTCAGTCTCTGGCTCTAAATTCCACACACTTTAGATTACACAAAGCAACCAGCAGAGCTAATGCTGTAGGAGTCCAGAAGTGATAGGCAGAAGTCTGATTAGGGCTGGCTTCATTAAGAATGTGGGTTTTGGTTGTACTCAGTGAAAAAGTTGAACCTGAATGAGAGAGTAAGGTGGAAAGACATTCTATACATGATCAAGGCAAGAAGGTGGGAGTGC